CATTGGCACACAGAATGTTTGTACAATTGTGTTTAATTACCTTTCTGATTATATCAGATTAGTTGAAGGAATAAGTGACATTGGAGTATATATATATATATATATATATTATATATATATATATATATATATATATATATATATATATATATATATATATATATATATATATATATATATATATTATATATAAAATTGAATGCATGTTTGTCTCTGTCTCTGAAGGTGGCGGCCAGAAGTTTGAGGTTATCTTCACCAAACTACTCAAGATAAGACTTGGGTATATGTCAAAGGGAGAGGAGGGGGGGTGGGGGTTAAGGTCGGTCTAAATATTACTTTTTAATATAAGCGAATACTCTACATATCTACTTCCACCCCCCCCCCCCCCTCCTGTGATTTTCATGTCGTCTGAACTCGGAGTTTATTTTGTTTTGTTTTTTGTTTAATTTTGCAGTAGAGTATACCTACCTACTTCCTCTACTTACTCAAACGGCCGGTATGAGGTACCTGGAGTTTTGCCCTTGCTTTATTACCTCTCGTGTCTTAGGGGATATCATAATGCACCCAAAGTTAGTCTTGGGTTTGACTTGACTGCTGATGGCATGGATCTGTATGACTAACCATCCTGCGAGAGGGAGATTATATGTTATTGCCTCATATAACAGATTATATGTTATTGCCTCATATAACAGATTATATGTTATTGCCACATATAACATATAACTAATGTGCTCTTGGCATATTATTGAACCCTTCATGTAGTCTAGGGAGGCTACATATATGTGCAAATGTACTTAAATGTGATATCAAAAAAATATTCGAAAAAGAGGAACACGAATTAATTTGGATTAACTGAAGATTCTGGTTACCAGAATTCGGATTACCGAGCGCTTGCATAATAAGTTTTTCGAGAGGGGAAGGAGAAAGGGAAGGAAAGGGGGAATGAGAGAGGGGGATAGCGAAGGAGAGGAGAAAGATAGATGGGTAGGAGAGGTGAGAAAGAGGGGTGGAGACAAGAGAAAGGGGGAAAAGAGGGGAGGACAGGAAGAATTTAGAAAAGGGTGAGAGAGGGAGCTGGGATGAAAGGGAAGCCGGGGGGGGGAAGATGAAGAGGGTGAGAGAGAGAGAGAGAGAGAGAGAGAGAGAGAGAGAGAGAGAGAGGAGAGAGAGAGAGAGAGAGAGAGAGAGAGAGAGAGAGAGAGCGAAGATAGCAAGCGAGAGGGAAGAGAAGGCTTGGAAAGAGGGAAGAAGGGAGGGAGAGGAGGTAGGATATAAGGAATGAGAAGAGAGACCCGGGCACAGCCGGGTACTCAATCTTTGTTAATATTTGCAAAAACATTTTTTTTATTGGCTGACATTGTTACTAATACCATTCATGATCTTTTACATGTAATTCGCATTCGTGCAAATAATATAGATCGGTGTGTGTGTGTGTTCGTGTTTACTAGTTGTGTTTTTGCGGGGGTTGAGCTTTGCTCTTTCGGCCCGCCTCTCAACTGTCAATCAACTGTTTACTAACTACCTTTTTTTTTTCCACACCACACACACACACCCCCAGGAAGCAGCCCGTGACAGCTGACTAACTCCCAGGTACCTATTTACTGCTAGGTAACAGGGGCACTTAGGGTGAAAGAAACTTTGCCCATTTGTTTCTGCCTCGTGCGGGAATCGAACCCGCGCCACAGAATTACGAGTCCTGCGCGCTATCCACCAGGCTACGAGGCCCCTCGTAGTGTGTGTGTGTGTGTGTGTGTGTGTGTGTGTGGTGTGTGTGTGTGGTGTGTGTGTGTGGTGTGTGTGTGTGTGTGTGGTGTGTGTGTGTGTGTGTGTGTGTGTGTGTTTGGGGGGATTTAGATGGGGGGGGGGGAGCAAGGTGGTGGTAGTTATTATGATGCATTTAAAGTTACTGACCTTCATGTAACTGACTAATTTAACTCTGTTCCAGTTTTTTTTTTACTTTTACAGCAACAAGTTTCACAGACAGTCTTATGACGTTATTAAATTTATTTTCGTTTAGAACATAAGCATCACCTGAAATATATATCAAGTCGGATATATATATACGAGCCACTTGGTATATAATAAAAAAAATATTTTCTAAAACTTTTCGAGGTTAGTTTTATTCATGAACTAAAATACAATTCCCAGCGATCCATGAGCTAAATACAATTCACTTTCTACAATGTGGATTCATCTACACAGCGCAACGCCCAGAATGTATAATGAGCCCCCCTGAGAATTAAGGCTTTATGGCTACGTAAACCAATCTAAGGGGGGGACGAAAAAAGTTATAAAATATGAAGAAATATGAAAATAATGTCTAGAAATCCCCCCCACCCCGCTCCAAGACCGTATGTCTCCTGCTTTATAGCCCAATAAAAAGTCACCCCCACTCCATACCTGGATCACAGCGCCTCTCGGCTGTTCCTAAGAGATTCTGCTTACCGGCGCTCTTAGTCCGAGAAGCAGAAGGTCCGTACTTCAGTCGAATTTCTAAATAGTAAAAGTTATATATATATATATATATATATATATATATATATATATATATATATATATATATATATATATATTAGTATATTTTGGTAGCAGTCTTTCCTGTAGACATATTTTATTAAATATGACCGAAAAAGTAAGATTAATAATTCTAACACGAATTTTCTCAATCTTTCGTACATTATGCTTCACTGTTGGAGGTAAATCAAAAATCACTTCTCCAAAATTCATTTTTATTTCTAGTCTGACGCGACACGGGCGCGTTTCGTAAAACTTATTACATTTTCAAAGACTTCACAAATACACAACTGATTAGAACTTGCGTTTCCCTGATTTTATATCTACATTTGAGTGAGGTGGGAAGGGTGATGTGGCATTACATTTGAGTAAGGTGGGAAGGATGATGTGGCATTAGAGGATATTAATAGGGTATTAAAAGTATCAACACAAGACAGAACACGAAACAATGGATATTGAATAGAAGTGTTTGTAGAAAGCCTATTGGTCCATATTTCTTGATGCTTCTATATTGGAGCGGAGTCTTGAGGTGGGTAGAATATAGTTGTGCAATAATTGGCTGTTGATTGCTGGTGTTGACTTCTTGATGTGTAGTGCCTCGCAAACGTCGAGCCGCCTGCTTTCGCTGTATCTATCGATGATTTCTGTGTTGTTTACTAGGATTTCTAGTAAACAACACAGAAATCATCGATAGATACAGCGATAGCAGGCGGCTCGACGTTTGCGAGGCACTACACATCAAGAAGTCAACACCAGCAATCAACAGCCAATTATTGCACAACTATATTCTACCCACCTCAAGACTCCGCTCCAATATAGAAGCATCAAGAAATATGGACCAATAGGCTTTCTACAAACACTTCTATTCAATATCCATTGTTTCGTGTTCTGTCTTGTGTTGATACTTTTAATACCCTATTAATATCCTCTAATGCCACATCATCCTTCCCACCTTACTCAAATGTAATGCCACATCACCCTTCCCACCTCACTCAAATGTAGATATAAAATCAGGGAAACGCAAGTTCTAATCAGTTGTGTATTTGTGAAGTCTTTGAAAATGTAATAAGTTTTACGAAACGCGCCCGTGTCGCGTCAGACTAGAAATAAAAATGAATTTTGGAGAAGTGATTTTTGATTTACCTCCAACAGTGAAGCATAATGTACGAAAGATTGAGAAAATTCGTGTTAGAATTATTAATCTTACTTTTTCGGTCATATTTAATAAAAATATATATATATATATATATATATATATATATATTTGTTTTCCTTTTAGATCTTTGGGCAAGTCGAATAAAATGGAGAGAAAGAGAGAGAGAGAGATGACCGACTTGACATTACTGTCTATATGAGAAAATATGCCCTAAAGTTTTTATTTTTTTTCCTGCAAGTCAATAGCACAGATGGCTATAAGACAAGTTTAGACTATGTCATTCTTCCCCGAAAGGAACAGCACCTCAAATCAAAGAGAAGAAGAATGTTTAAAGCTGGTTTATTCGGAGGGAATATATATATATATATATATATATATATATATATACTACCTTGTTATATAATGAGAGAGATTAAATAACAGGACACTAAATCACATATGTATATTATATATATATATATATCCATCCAAAATCAAATGACAGAGGTCAGCCCCCTTTCGGTGGATGGTTGCTAGACTACACAGTTAAGAGTCTGTCTGTCTCTGTCTCTGTCTCTGTCTCTCTCTGTCTGTCTGTCTGTCTCTGTCTGTCTCTGTCTGTCTCTGTCTGTCTCTGTCTGTCTCTGTCTGTCTCTGTCTGTCTCTCTCTCTCCCCCCTCCCTCCCTCCCTCCCTCTCTCTCTCTCTCTCTCTCTCTCTCCCAAACGTTCGCATGCACGGGGCGATGTTGTTGTATCATTATCATACTCCATTATATTCGTATTTATTATTATAACTATAGCGTATTGTAGCCTACTTGTATAATTATCATACACGATATTATTTTAAGAATATTAGCGACTGGCTCTGTTGAATACAAAAATAAATTAAGCTTGGTAATGAGAAAAACACTCAAGATATGCAACACATAAACAAGAAAGAGGAACCAAGTATAACAACGTAAAGGAGAAGCAAAGAGATAATGAATAAGAAATTAAAAACAGCAATAAGAGAAATAAGAGAAAGCCATGCAAAGGGGAAAAGGCAGAAGCGACGGGAACTATCATGGGGGAAGGGGGAAAGTCCCCTCAATACCAAGTCATTTCGACTATATAGCACTTGAAGGGGTCAGGATAAGGATTTTGGGATGGGTCAGGAAAAAGTAATGGTACCCAACCACTTGGACGGTTGGGGATTGAACGTCGACCTGTATGAAGCGAGACCTCTGCCAGAGCGTCGGTTTTCAGAGCTCTGGTGTAAGAGGACAATAGATATGCTTGAAAGACGATGAAAGATTCATCAGACATAGTACTGAGTACTGGAAAACTTTATCATATCTTTTAGCACAAGTACTATGACTCGCTAAGCTTTCCAGCACCAGCACTGAGGGACTCGCTGAACCTTCCAGCACCAGCACTGAGGGACTCGCTGAACTTTCCAGCACCAGCACTGAGGGACTCGCTTAACCTTCCAGCACCAGCACTGAGGGACTCGCTGAACCTTCCAGCACCAGCACTGAGGGACTCGCTGAACCTTCCAGCACCAGCACTGAGGGACTCGCTGAACCTTCCAGCACCAGCACTGAGGGACTCGCTTAATCTTCCAGCACCAGCACTGAGGGACTCGCTTAACCTTCCAGCACCAGCACTGAGGGACTCGCTTAACCTTCCAGCACCAGCACTGAGGGACTCGCTGAACCTTCCAGCACCAGCACTATGACTCGCTAAACCTTCTAGCACATGTATTATGACTCAGTAAACCTTCCAGCACAAGGACTGAGGGACTCGCTAAACCTTCCAGCACAAGTACTGAGGGACTCGCTAAACCTTCCAGCACAAGTAATATGACTCACTAAACCTTCCAGCATCAGCACTGAGGACTCGCTAATCCCTCCAACACAAACAGTGATAACGCACCAAACACGCCAGCATGAACTACAAGAGGATGTAACCACTATCTCCCTCAGTTCATGGTAACTGACCATTTCATGACAAGAAAATGACTATTCCGCCGAACACGCGGGAAAAATGTTCTGTCCAATAACGTCTGAAAATGTCTGTTCTGTATTATGTGCACTGGAGAATATATATACACTCCTTTTGGACGAGGAAATCTCAACGCCACAGTAGGAAATAAACCATTATTAGCACGCGAGAACCATTCGGTTTCCTATATTCTTTGCAGGTTATTTGAGAGACGACATTCGTGACCTAACTTTCCGTTTTAGTATAAAGGGGAAAGAACGACGGGAAAGTAATCATCTTTCTATGGATATATATCAATATCTTTTAATTAAATATACCGACAAAATGAGTGATATGGTTATATATAAATCCACTGAAATGGTACGCGAGATAGGGAACGGGGATTAGGAGAAAATGCACAATCGCTATGGTTTATATAGGACTTATAGCACATGGCCAGCAGGGTGGGATATGAATGTCGAACGTCAACCCAGCAAGACGCCTGGGCGTCTCTCTACCAACCAGTCCATCTGGGTGGGAGGTAATTATTACACATATGATAGGTAAATTAAGTAAAATATACTGATAATGTGTGTGTCTCGTGTTTTTCTCAGGTCAGATTATTAACATTCGGTCTAGCATTCGAACTTGACGAATCTGAGAACGAAAAGATTTCCTTTTCAGTTCAGATCTAATTCACAAAATGTCTTATCACGATATGAATATAATGATTAATCTCACTATTGTAATCCTATAGTATTAAATCAAGTTATTTGCTGCTGTGACAATATACTAGATTAAGTATTTTGCTAATGTAAACCTTTGGTAATATATTTATTGCCCAAATGACATAGCTTTCTGGATTTAACAAGTTCACGGAATTAGGTAGTTATGGGATGACCATTGAGTCACTTGCACAAAAGAAATCCCATTGAAGTGATGAATCAATGTGAAAAAACCTTCCAGCACAAGTTTACACACAGTTTACAGTAAGTAGTAAGTTTACACTAAGTTCACAGTAAGCAGATACACAAATCATGACTCCAACTGATTTTCTCAATATGGTCCCTGTAATTAACCCTTAAAACAATCACAATCACTGCTAAACAATGTAAGAGGTAGTATATTGGTCTTGGCTCCAGTGAAACATTGGCCTCAACTCTCAGAATGTTTGGTAATATGTTTATTGTTTGTGATGTGTGTCTATGTATGTACTAACACGTTGTACTGAACGGGGTGAGAATAGCTTGAGCTACCTCATCCCTTTGTGTGTATTTTACCTCAATAAACTTATTTCAATTTGCCTAAATAGACTGTAAAGACCTTGTAAGTTCATGAATATTCAGGTAAGGGTACCTTGAGTTCCTTGAGGTGCTTCCGGGGCTTAGCGTCCCCGCGGCCCGGTCGTCGACCAGGCCTCTGAGGGACTGTTCGTAGGGTAGGGGGTCTGTTCCTTTTTTTGGATGTAATTTCTCGTGGAATAGTTCTTAACCATTGTGCATGCAAACAGCTCAGACAAACAGGTGTTTTAAGATGAAACAAGCGAGGGGGGTGCGGAAACAAGCACCCATCACTTACAATACTTTAATCATTTTAAGTCAAGAAAGAACACAGACATAATACTTTTATCCCTAGTAAACTTGAACGTGAATTTAGAACACCACTTAAGCATTCAAATATATTACCATTCAAGAGCACTTGACGAAACAAGTGTCCCAAAAGAATTCAGTATATTGCTCGGAAAACCAAATACATTCTCATTCAGATATGCAGTATGCAACTAGCCAATCCACAAATCATCATCAATTTCAACTTATTCTACATTATTTCATAAAAAAAATGATGTAAAGAAACCATTCTGAACGTGTGGTTAACCACTGGAACGCCAGCCCGTCCTCCTAAGGCTTCCCCAACGTCAAGAAACGGTCGTACTAACGTGCCCTTAATCCTAATCTACCAGAGAACCCAAAACAGAAAACGGGACAATATGCCAATTTCGCAAGCCGCTACCAATTTCCTGTACGACAATTTTTTTGGCCTCAGAGTATACGTCAAAATACGTCGAAGCTATTAGAAGAACGGGTTGTTCACGCACTGAAACTACAACAGGTGAACGCCGACCCCATCCACAACAAAGCTTGATATGAAAACCACTTTCTGAACGCCAGAAAAGAACGAGAAAACGCCAGAAAAGCTCAAATAAAACGCAACAGATACAACAGGATAAGAAGGCAAGGCTCATAATGCTATATATACTTCGCTTTCCCATAGTCACTATCAGATAACTTTTTTTTTTGAGGTAAGTTATGTTCACAAGATCGAGAGATGTGAGCTGATCAACAGGAAAGTTAATGACCATGAAAAAGCGACGAGGCTTGTTGATAGGTAACAATGGAGAGATAAGAAAATAAACATAGAGCATAATTTTATATATATATATATATATATATATATATATATATATATATATATATATATATATATATATATATATATATATATCAGTTAGATCAGTAAGAAGGCAGGCAAGCAGGACTGACAGACAGAGGTAAGTTTTTAAGATTTGGGCAAACAAGATCCATAAGATGAACATAAGCCTTACAGAGACGAAGGAGAAGAGACGAACCCCCCCCCCTCCTCCATCTGACACTACAGACTGATTGATCAACCATGGAAACAGGAGAGAGGAGGGGGAGGGGGGATGAAGAAAAAGGGGGAGGGGGGGGGGGGGAAGCCAACAAGGCATTCACCTCTCTTTTTGTATCTTCTGATGCAGGCAGCGTCGACAGTGAGGATGACCGCTGTCTTCTTGTCCCGGAGGCAAGGGGGAAGGGAGGGAGGGTTTTGATGTGTGGCAGGGGTCTAAGCTGCCCAGTACCCCCAGTACCTCTGCACACTCACACTCCTCCAGCATATTAAATACCAAAAGAGTGTTTTGTTAGCGGAATATTTTTTTTTCCAACGACGTTCTGGTGATAAGCAAAAGGACTGTTAAAATGATTATTTTATTTTACCTTTTTTTGTTCTAAGAGGGGGGGGGGGGAGGGCGAGGGAAGGTGGGTAGTTTGATTGGTGTATTTACCTTGTCCCCCCCCCTGCCCCCCCCCCCCATACACACCCAGGAAGCAGCTCGTAACAGCTGTCTAACTCCCTGGTACCTATTTACTGCTAGGTGAATAGGAGCACATCAGGGGTGAAAGAAACTCTACCCATTTGTTTCCACCATCGCCGGGGGATCGATCTCCAGTCCCCCAGGATTACGAATCCCGAGCGCTGTCTACTCAGCCACCAGGACCCTTTGATTTGTGTGTGTGTGTGCGTACGCGCGCGCGTGTATGTGTTGGATACAATTATCTTCGTTCTCTATTTGTATTACAACAGTTAATTTTTTTCCTATTCTTGACAACTGCTTGATTGGCCCTCGAGTGAAAATTTTGCCTCTTGTGGTGGTCACTCCACAGGAATTCTTTTTTTTTACCTCTTGGACAAATATTTTCGCTGTGGGGGCGGAGAGACGGACGCAGCTGTCCATACCGCGTCTGTCTATTTGGCCAGGCCCGTCTGTTTACGTACCCCGTCTCTCGCGCGTTCGGCCAGCAAGCCACCCGTCCCTCTAACTCATGAGTAACTATTTCGTATTACCCGCGATACACTCTACTACGGGCTCACCATAGCCCGTGCTGCTTGGAGCTTTTTTTGTTCCGAGTAGCGAATCTTAAAACAACAACAACAACAACAAACCCACGATACTGCGTTGACGAATTCACAATTTTGGTGTTGGGTTTCCTAAAGCTTTTAACCGCAGGGAGCAGGTTTTTAGCTCCGCCAAAAGTTTTTTTTTAACCAATCAGCATGCGGGATATAACGTCGGTGTTATAACAGGCATTCCGTAACAATGGCAGACGACATATCAGTAAAGCACATATTGTCTCGTTATGTAGCTGGGCGTGTGGGAAGGGAGTATGTGCTACATATATACTTGTTGGCTTCCCATTGTCCATCTGGTGATCTATGATCAAGCCCATTACTGTTATCTCATCAGAGGTTTAATATATAAATATATATATAGTCACAGTGTCAGACCACGGAGGAAAATTGAAACAGGAATTTCCTTAAGTACTTTCGTATATTAATACATCTTCAGAAGGAGTTTGACTCCTTCTGAAGATGTATTAATATACGAAAGTACTTGAGGAAATTCCTGTTTCATTTTTCCTCCGTGGTCTGACATTGTCACATTTTTAATCACGTTTATTTTCGTGATATACACACACATATATATATATATATATATATATATATAGTGTTTGTCTATGGTAATTCTCTGGACATGTGGACATGTAAACACACTCTCTACCTGCTTTTGCACTCTCTATGGCAATGCCTCGGAAAGGCTAGTCTTCGTTAGCTCGCTTTGGTACCTTCGTTAGCTCGCTTTGGTACCTTCGTTAGCTCGCTTTGGTACCTTCGTTAGCTCTCTTTGGTACCTTCGTTAGCTCTCTTTGGTACCTTCGTTAGCTCTCTTTGGTACCTTCGTTAGCTCTCTTTGGTACCTTCGTTAGCTCTCTTTGGTACCTTCGTTAGCTCGCTTTGGTACCTTCGTTAGCTCGCTTTGGTACCTTCGTTAGCTCGCTTTGGTACCTTCGTTAGCTCTCTTTGGTACCTTCGTTAGCTCTCTTTCCACACTTCATACGCTGCCTCTAAGTCCCTCTCACCGACCAGCGATAAACTACACACCCCACAACATAAGACTTGGATATACCTCTCCCGTGCATTTGTCGTTCCCAGTTCACCTCTTTAACAGTCCAACCTGTCATCTCATCCATTTATAATTATCCATCCATCTTCAAACCATTTTCTAAAGAAACGTAAACTAATTCTTTTCTTACCGTCCCACTTTATGTCTCACAGAGTTGTCTTACATTGCTCTAAGTCTTCTCGCTGAGTCTACGCTTCTACGGGAGCAAGAGTGCTCCATGACTCTGCTTTTACTCGAGTTAGAGCAACCTAGAGCTCTATTTCCACATAGGCAATTCACTACAAACAGAAGTTTTGTTTACCTCTGCTCAGCTTTTCTTCTCAGTCTATACACAAAATCTAAACAATGCAGTCACTCTCGGCTGTGACCCACAGGACCACCACCACACGCAAGCGATGGGTGATGGGGGATGTTCAGCTTCGTAACATCAAATGCTTTTAAAATCCCCCCCCCCCTCTCACTAAACGAGTCTGGCACGAGAGACAGCTGTCTGCCACGCCCGGTCTTCAACAACAACACCCATTGTATCAACATGCCAAGGTTAACAATAGCTCAACTCGTGGAATCAACACATCTCTGCTCTGGAAAACAAAAATGCGCGTGTGTTCGTATTCTCTGGGCGAACGGAACACCTTCCATGTCTATGTTATGTAGAAAGATAAAAAAAATCCTCGCACTACATAACGACTTCAGTGAAAAGTAAGAGTCAAGGCCGGAAACTTCACACGGGATAATTTCTTACGATTGTCTCTGGTGAAGGAGATGGTAAGGGAGGAGGGAGATGCAAGCAGCCATGACGCTTGTAAGAACTCTTAATGAAAGGAATCGTGTCTGGCGAGATGTATCACTAATATGCATTTCTTAACGTACATAAATTAGAGGTTGTCACCTAGCACGGTAGGCGGTCGACATTGGCAGGCTGACACTAGCAGGCTGACACTAGCAGGCTGAAACTAGCAGGCTGACACTAGCAGGCTGACATTAGCAGGCTGACACTAGCAGGCTGACACTAGCAGGCTGACACTAGCAGGCTGACACTAGCAGGTTGACATTAGCAGGCTGACACTAGCAGGCTGACACTAGCAGGCTGACACTAGCAGGCTGACACTAGCAGGCTGACACTAGCAGGCAGACACTAGCAGGTTGACACTAGCAGGCTGACATTAGCAGGCTGACATTAGCAGGCAGACACTAGCAGACTGACACACTAGCAAGTTGTTCACCACACAGCTTGTTTGATATGTGTCTGCAGCACCTAGGTCTCTGTGCTCCACCTAGTTTCCTCGCCCCCTCTGTGCACCATCCAACTCCCTCTCTGTGGCACCACTCAGCCGAGCATTGTATACAAGCATACATGTATACAAGCCTGTATACCCCTCTGTATACAAGCCAACTCTTTGAATATCATTCGTGGTAACTTCCTTGCCTTCAGCCTACGATGACTGGTACTCCCAGTTTTTCACAACGTCTTTGAATGCTCTGAATGCTCATATTATATTCCCTACACTCATGAAACATTAAAGAAAGACTGTACAGTTAGCAAGGAAGACCTGGGAGTAGTAGTCACGCTTGCCTTAACATCAAAGGTACACACTGAATACATATACATATTACATATAAGCATATGTAAGCTGCATATAATACATATAAACTGCCTATGCAAGTCTAGCAAACATGAGATTGGCTCATAAATAACTGTGGGGTTCTCGGTTCGAGTTCCCTACAGCCCAAGTGAATGAAATGAGAATGGCTTTTATAAACACCAAGAAATCCTTATGAACATTATTCGTGGTGTTCGTCATACCAGTCCTAGAGTATGCAGCTCAAGAACTCACAATTGGGGAGAAACTGATTTGTTTACTGCCAGACGCCAGAGGTTGAATGATCTAGGAAGATAAGCTATATGAGTAAAACTGATGACATTGGAAGATAAAAGGATAGAAGAGGATATGATCACAACATACAAGATTCTATGGTGAATAGACAAAGAGCATGAGTGACAACAGACTGAGGGAGCACAGGTGAGAGGGTAAAACACAGATATTCCAGGTAAATTGTAATTAGACTCTTAGTTGCAGTATCGTAAGCAAATAGCGTGCCCTTGAGCCAGAGCTGATGGAAGTAATCAACTTTTAAAGATTCAGGTGCAAGTATGACTGCTGAAAAGTCATGTGTTACAAATTCTCAAGGTGCGACAGTTCTGAGGCGAGGCTCTTAAGAAGCTCTCGTAAACACTTTCACTGAAGCGCTTGCGCACATCACCCTCAAAAGCGTGATAAAGGAGTCATTGCATTAATGAATAAACCTGCGGAAGGCGGGGGCTAGAAGCCTAGCTCGACCCCTGCAAACAGATCTAGACGAGTACACACACGCATGACAAAGAGTGCTGGGAAGACGGGACACCACAAGCGTAGCTCTCATCCTGTAACTACACTTAGGTAATTACACACACAGGTGTGTGCGTGTGTTAGGTGGGACCAAAGAGCCAGAGCTCAACCCCCGCAGGCACAATTCGGCGAGTATACACACACACACACACACACACACACACACACACACACACACACACACACACACACACACACACACACACAGTGTACAATTAAACTGTATACTCATACAGACAGCGAACACGCACAAACAAATACTCACGAATACACACTGAACTTCTGTTAACTCCATTGACTCTTTGACCTCTGTCTGCCCACCACACCCCCTCACCCACACTATCTTCACCTCCCTCCCTCTCTCCCTCTCTCTCTCTCACACGACAGGGTCATAGGAGAAGACTGAACCACTGTCTTCCCAGGTGGGCGGGAAGAAGAGATGTAGGGATTGGAAGAATGGCAAAAAAATAATCAGAAGACTTCTCAAAATTACACACTAAAACTAGAGAGTATTTTGAATCAAAGGCAGCATAAAAAAAGGGGACACAGAAGCTTGAGGCAGAGCTGAGGACAGCCAAAGAGAAAATGGGTACCCCCCCCCCTCAAAGAAGCATCGCCAAGAACTCCATACCGAAGAGGGGGAGGCAAAATAACCCAATGTATTAAACTACGAACCAGCGGCATGTTCTTTCAAGGGTGGTTGCCATTTGTGTTAATAATAATGTTGCCACAGGGTAGGGAAGCATTGTACGAAGTGACAATTCAGGGAAGCATGGGACGGGGGAAAGAATGATCCCCAACCACTTGGACGGTCGGGGATTGAACGCCGACCTACATGAAGCGAGACCGTCGCTCTACCGTCCAGGTAGTTGGGTAAGCGGAATAGAGAATCAGTATTGGGTCTGAAGGAATCGGGAGATTCTGGAAAAGATAAATGGAAAGTGACACAGATATACTGAAAAAATAAATCATGCCAAAGGTGCAGATGGAAGGGAAAAAATCAAAAGAAAAAGGCTTCAAGTTTGGTCACAACAGGAAGATTGATCAGCGGGTAAAGAAAATGTTCACAAGCAAGAAAATAAAACAGAAACCCAAGAGAGCAACAGATCTCAAGACGTACATCTATAAGGAAATATACTTCCAGACGAATGAATATATGTCAAAGAGCAGCTGGAGAAATCCTGATGCCTGCGTTCACTTCAGTAAAATATGAACTGGGGAGTTACACAGCTGGTGCAGGACGCATCCTGTGTGTGTGTGTGTGTGTGTGTGTGTGTGTGTGTGTGTGTGTGTGTGTGTGTGTGTGTGTGTGTGTGTGTGTGTGTGTGTGTGAAATATATGTAGCTGATATGATGGAAAAATAGGTCAGTAGCCAGTACATTAGACAACGTACTGTTGAAAAGACAGGATCCAAAAGCTACTATCTCGATCCTGCAGGTACAAATAGTACACACACACACATACATTATTCTAACCTAATACGCATACACACATCTTTCCAGCCAAAGACACATACATACACAAACCCACCCAACCCACATCAGGCCCACCCACTTCCATTTGCATTACATAGGCTCCTCGACAATCCCATCCCCACCCACCACCCACAACACCCACACACAACACACACACACACACTCCCTCCTCCCCCACACCAGGTCCACCCACCACAACACCCACCCACAACACCCACACACACACACACCCTCCTCCCCCACACCAGGTCCACCCACCACAACACCCACACACAACACACACACACACTCCCTCCTCCCCCACACCAGGTCCACCCACCACAACACCCACACACAACACACACACACACACACCCTTCTCCCCCACACCAGCCCCACCCACAACACCCACACACAACACACACACACACACTCCTCCCCCACACCAGGTCCACCCACCACCCTCAACACACACACAGACTTCAAACATGTAAATATTTCCTCAAGCACTAAATTTGGGTACAAAGCGGCGTTTTTCGAAATCAAGGAGACATTTGCGTCCTATGTTTCCTCAGTCAGATGTAACAAAAATACAAACAAATATACCAGTCAATGCCATGTCTGTTTGGCGTCAAAAGACCTTAGCTTCTCCCATGCAAAAATAATATTTCCTATTATTTCCGAAAAGGTCATTTTGGCGATGCATAAATGCAAAAGATTCTGGCTTGCGTTTCTCATTATTGGGGAATAATGCCATATACAGAGACGTTCATGAACCTGCATTTCTTATTTGTGTTTAGTGCGTGCCAGTGTGCGTGCGTGCGTGTGCGAGTACTCACGTAGTTGAGCGTGCAAGGGTGGTGCTTTGGCTCTTGATCCTGCCTCTCGACTGTCAATCAACTGGTGTACAGGTTCCTGAGCTTAATGGATTTTATATCTACATCTGAAACTGTGTATGGAGACTGTCTCCACCACATCACTTGCTAATGCATTCCATTTATTAATTACTCTGATACTGAAAAAAATCTTTCTAGTGTGTGGGGCTCATTTGGGTACTCAGTTTCCACCTATCTCCCGTGGGTGAGTGCCACCCGCGTTGAATGATTGATGAAGATTAAGCCACCCAATAGGTGGCACGGGCATGAATAGCCCGTAAGTGGTAGATTTTTTGGGGGAGTGAATGTGATCTTTGGACGGGAACACCCGCGTTAAATAAT